GAATAAGTGTCTGTACAATCAGCGGCCATTTAAGTGTGTTGATACATGACTTAAAATAAGAAGGTTATGAATTTGAGTTACATACTGATCAACAGCTATGGAGCCTTTTATGGTCTGGCCTTTTAGATACTTCAGGATGTAATTGCCCTTGCTGGATTTGGACAGGATGAAAAAACGCCTTTTCCAGGAATTCTGCCGAAGAGAAAGTAATTTGTCTCTCATTAAAATTCAGGATAGCAGAAATAACAGACGCTTGTTGAGGGATTGCTGGAATATGACTAAACTGTGCTAGTATACCTGTGAGCCAAAAAGTTGAAGAGGTGGTGATTTGATGAGGAATCCATGCTTGTAGACACCACCTTCAGGGCAAAACGTATTTTGAGTTCTCACTAATCAAAGAGAAACGAACAGCACCATTACTTAATTTGTTGCCTATTTATCTCTTACAAAGACCTGCTTGAACTGGAAATTGTTGCTGAGCATTGGGTTTCTGTGCTTAAATGGCCATAAAAGCACATTACAATTACAGAAGACAAACACAAATCAAGGCTATAAAATATAGGGCCAGGCCATGCTTCCCTGATGCCAACGTTACTGCTGACAACTGGCCCAAACTGTAAACAAATGCTAGTGACAATGTGGGGGACTCAGAAGATATCATGAGCCTCTGTCTTATCTAACTGGTCTTACTTAACTTCTGGACTCTGGTCTTACTTAACTTGGTTAGGGACATGGTTTAGTAGTGGCATGGCAGGGTTAGGTTAACGGTTGGACTTGATGATCTTAAAGGTCTTTTCCAACCGAAACGATTCTATGCTTCTATGATTCACAATGAATGACCTGAAAGACAGTAAATAGCCCCTAATGACATCTGTAGGTGGCATTCAACTTGGATGTGTTGCAAACACAGCTAAGGATAAATCATCTTACACTGCGGATCATGATGGGACAACAGGAAAAAGTCTTACAAGTAAAACATAAGCTAAAACTTTGGGGGGAAAAATGCCTGAATGTATTTGTTCACGACCCTGCCTACTCTGTGCCCAGCTGTAGTTTAAGATTCATGTTTTCTAATCACTAGTGGATTTCTGATAAAAATCTCAGTTTTGTTAATGCACTTTAACACCCAATAAAAGGAGTGGCAATCTCATTCCATTTTTTAAGCTATAAACCATGTATGGGAAATTAAGATTTTTAAGAATCCAGTGACTGAAAGGAGCACAGTCAACCTCATTTTGGATCTTCCAGTAAGGGACAGTAGAGAATATGCATAATCCTGGGAAATACAACATGACCAGACCTTCCGGTGGTGCAAGAAATGCTTGGTGCTGAAATCCCATTTACTACTGACTTCAGTGGAGGTAAGGTTTCATCCTCAGTGCCTTGGAGATACTGACTGTATCTTCCAGTTCCCAGTTAATGTTTAAGGATTTTAACATTTTTTGCAAATGTCAGTTCAACTTCTGTGTCAGGGATAAGCAAAATTCTGCTATAAAGGGAAATGCTGCATTTAGGACAGAATCTTGAAGGAAGGAAGCCGAGGGGCAGAATTAACACACAGTCCAGCTGAGAGCTCCAAATTATTTCAGTATGCTATTTTCCCGTTTTTCACTTATTGTTTACCACAAAATCCTTGGCAGGTGGAGGGCAAAAGGAATCATATAATATATTGATAAGAATGGATTGAAACCTGATTTGGCCTTACTACTGACAAATCTTAATAAATGAAATTTTGTACCTGCAGAACTTTTACTTGTAGAAGCCATCCTGATTGTTTCTTCCACCCAGAAAGTAAACAGAGCAAAAACCTTGAAGTTAATTCCTTTTGCTGTGCTTGCTGCTGAGCAGCATTTCACTGCACGCACGGTTGCCTGAGAAAATAACAAATCTCTCACAAGTGTTTATTTTCATAGTGCTGATTAAACTATATAAAATAAACACAGAAAAATCTATATAAGCTATATAAATAATTACAATGATTCATCTAAGCATTCTATTATACTTCCTAATATTTTTATTATAAAGTAAATTATATGTTATAAGCTATAATATTGTATTTATTCTCTTATAATTACTAAATTACAAATAATAAAAATTACAAATTTATATAGGCCAAAGAGATGATTTGCCTAGGAAGTGGTGAGACCACCTGCCAACAGAAGTTCATTTTGCCCCTTCCTTTGCACTAGACACAACACCTGTAACCTAGGAATATTGCGTCCCATATATGTTTCTGACACTGCCTTAGCAGTGTGATCAGCCCTGTATAAAATAGGTGTAGCTTGGCCTAAAGAGTTTAAAATCAATATTCTGGTAGTTATAATAATTTGCAAGTCTGTAGCACTCTTAATACAATGCCCTCAAAGCAATTTATAAACATTGATGAAGTAAACGTCACGGCTCTCTAAGAGGTGGATTAGTACTGTGATCTTTTCAGTGGTCAACAGAGAGTATCTGGTTTTATTTACATCAACTTATTTTTGCAGTGTCGCCTCCAGTATTACCAGGGAAATGGGAATCTTACTGTAAACCTGAGAAGTTAAATAACCTGCTTGTTGGCATAGCCAGGCTGTGGCAGAGATGGGAATAGGGGCTGGCGGGGAGGCAGAATGCACCAGTGCATTTCCATGGACTTCTCCAAAGTTTTGGTTTACGGTTGGACTTGATGATCTTAAAGGCCTTTTTCAAACTAAACAGCTCTATGATTCTATGATTTTTGTTAAATAACCCTTTAACAAAACATGCAGGCAGCAGTCTGTGGGATTTGG